TGCTGCAAAATTTTGATGGCCAATTCCTTCATACACATTTGAGATGATGAGAATAATCAGAGCATAGCCCAAAATATGATGGCTTATCACCCAATAAGTCTTCGATCCAGGTTCTTCTTGATTTGGTCTCACACACACTGCTCTAATAGGCTACTAGGGTTATTCTTATTCATGTTGATGTATTATATTTTGAACTCCAATGGCCCTAGGTGATGTAACGTCCTGTATATGAATATTTGAGGACTGATTTGGGTGAATTTGAATAAAAACAAATGAAGATAGCACCGAGAACTAATGTAGTTTTGCTTGAGGTTAGGGCTGATCCAGAGTTAAAAAAGTAGCTAACTTGTCTGAGCTATTGGTACTGCTATGAGACGAACTAGAGTGTGTAATTGTACCGTTGGAAAGCCCTTCGAGTCTAGTTTCCAACGCCGCTGACGGCACCTAATTCCGACTTTCTTACAGTGAGATATGACCATTTTTCCAAGACTGCGCAGGCACGACTGTTTTACCCGCGAAGAACATTTTGAGCTTGAATGAGATTTTTATTTTGTCCAACTTTCTTGCACTTGTCAAACTTGTTTTCTCATGAACTTTTACTGCATTTTGGGCCTAATTTACATGATGAATTGAGTGACTTTAACCACTCACTTGGTCACTTAATGGGCCTACAATTGAGTGGGAAATGAACCTATGTTAACGATTTCACTCGTTACCCTAAGATTGGGAAACGAAGGTAGTCATAACTGAGATACTTGACATTTGACTACTGCATTACTTGACAGGTGAGTGTTCCACTACCTGCTACCCGTTATGTGAAATATCTGAATATATGAAATACTTGATTTATGACTGTTGGAGCCAAATACTGTTTTGATAAAATGGAGGCGAGCGTGTACTTTATCGCATTCTATCTCCCTTGTTTTCCAATGAAGTTCTGTATACTGTTATTATGAAATGAGATTTCACTATATATATGATTGTGTTTAAGTTGTTTGGGTGATATCCATCAACTACTGCTACTGTTTGGGTACCCAATCTCTTAGGTGAGTCGGTTGTATCGAGCCACCAAGGGTTTGGTCGAGAAGGCCGATAAACCTTGGGGACTGATGTTTGGAGGCCCCTGGTGAAGTATAGCCGTTGAGCTTGCTTGTTGTGTTGCCCAACACCACCAATGGTAAAATCCTCGACTTGATCCTGTTTCTTTAGAATCTTGGATTCTTGGTATACTTGAGTATTACCAAAATACTGTTTGTGGCGTGCGGCCCCGGTAGGGGGTTGATTGGTGGACGGAGATTGGTGAAAGCGGTGTCTACGGACTTGCATTCTATGAATACAAACGTTGACGGAGTGTCAACAGATCCAGTTATGATCAAGCTCCAGTGGTGATTGGCTTTTGAAAGCCACCCGTATCTTTGAATTGAACTGTAATTAAATTACTGTCTTACTATACGGAGTTTATTTGATTATTTTGTGACCTTATTTGGCTACGTGTTTACTCGTTTTACTTGGAACCTCACTGGACGTTAGCGCACCCCACTCCCTTTGTTTTTCTTAACAGACCAGGGATGGATTTGATCAAGAGCTTTCTTAGCTTTACATTGTTTTGGACTTGTATTTGAGATTGCAACTTTTACTTAAGTAGACCTTACTTTTGACTCCTGTAAGCTTAAACCTATAGGTTCGACTCTTGTTATGTAAGTTGACTTTTGGCTATATGTATACTAAACTTTTGGAGTGTTGGTGAAGTGATTATGTTTTAAATTAGGATTACATTCCCTTGCAATGGAAGATATTTCATTTGCTTCATTTGAATTATTAGTGCTTTGATCGACTGAATCCCGGCGAGAGTTGGACAGGCAGTCCGTTGATACCCTAGGGTTTGCCCTAGGGAGAGGTGGAGCTGTCACACAATCAATTCAAAAGAGCTAACGAACAGTAAAGCAGCTTTAAAAGCAAAGATTTAATTAAAATTTCAAATATACATTCAATTAATAAAAAAATCGATAAGAAAATTACATGAAATTCCTCCATAAGGCATACAATCAGATGTAGTAGTTTTGATCGTTAAATTTGCCAACCTAACTGAATCTTTATGAATTTTTCTTCCTGATCTTGTCAAATAAATTGTACTCGAACGATTTCCAACTAAATCATTAATAATATTATTGATTTTTCGTTTTCTATAAAAAAAAAATACAGTAGTTCTTCTGATGAACTAGAATCACTACGCTGACCTGACATCAAATTTAACACGCCTTACAAGCTCCAACACAAGGAATGTAAAGACAAGTGCCCCCAGGATGGCGCCATATATCCATTTCCAATTCTTGGCTGCTGCAAAATTTTGATGGCCAATTCCTTCATACACATTTGAGATGATGAGAATAATCAGAGCATAGCCCAAAATATGATGGCTTATCACCCAATAAGTCTTCGATCCATGTTCTTCTTGATTTGGTCTTACACACACTGCTATAATTAACTGTAATATGTTATTGTCTTGTCTGCATAAAGAAAAAAAAATACCCTTAATTGACCAAAAAAAAAAAAAACGAAGGAAGGGATTTGGGATCTTACTTGTAATGTGGCCAAGGCAAAAATGATGGTGCCAAGAATTCCGTGGACGCTCATATTATGCTTTTTGGCTGCACTTCTAATAGACAAACCAAGGCCCCATCCAATTGTGCCCAAAAGGAATCCTGATGTTTGGGATAATATGTGCAGAGAGTACCAATCAGCGTTGTTCGAAGGCAATTTCTTGAAGTGTCTTGCAACTATTATACCAATAGGCAAGAGAACTCCCCATCCAAAAATGTTGACCATTCCATGGACCTGTTGGCAACTCTCACATAATCATATTCTACACTATTTTATCTATGATTTTGATGCTCAATCAATAATTTAAGTCGCGTTTTATGTAGTGCAATAGTGCGTTTTAATTTTGTTCTTTTTAAAATTTTTGGTACCAAGTTGTGCCTTAAATATGTTTATACACAACATTCTTGATTTGTCTCCAATCTACTAATTTGTTGGGTGATGACTAGTAGTAGTCTGATGATAGAAAAATATTTTGTACAATATATATTCATAATAACAAAAGTGGAGTTAAGATTCTATGATTGCATAATCATGCAAGAACAATCACTTAAGCTTAAATACTGGTTTCTTGGTATTACAAGTAAATGAACAAAGTCTATAACAAGTATAGTACGTACTTCTATAACTATAGCATAATTAGTTCAAAGGTTATATTAATCTTGAATACGTTTGAAAGCCTTTTTCTCATTGGTATATTTCGCTTTTCAAGTAGTATAGTGGAAAGTTTTCTATATCTGTTACGGGCACAATGTCAGAGTAAAAGAAAGTTTCTTGAGAGAATTTAGCTTTAGGAAGTGCATATGCGAGCTAAATTAAATTAACAAAATTATGAGCTTAAATTCTAATATTTGAATGTTGAGGGCCACATGGCTACTCCGTCAGTGACAGTTAAGTGTCAAGTTTCATTGAAGCTAAGATCAAGAATCACGAAGGAAGGAAGGAAAAGTAATCTGAAGAAGAGTACAACACTTTCTGCAAGAATGAAGCACCACCCCTTACTAATTTTAGGCGGAGAGGGTGATGCCGGAGGTTCCGCGGCCTCAAGTTCTGATGTGGAACGGGAAGCTTGTATTGCCCCTTGCTGGATTGCAACTCCATTATAGGAACATTATTAATCTTGTCATTATTCATCGTGGGAGAAAGCTTCTCGCTGAGTGCAGAAATACTGGAATCAGTTGAGGGTAGGAAAGAGATAAAACCCACAAAAATGAGACAATGAAAAATCATGGTCTTTGGCTGCTCAGAAATACTTGTGTAATTTCTTGGAGTAGATTTGGAATGTCTTAAATGATAGCTTCTTCGATCATTTATAATCGTGTATGCAGGCAAGACTAGGCACACTTGATCCTCAAAAGCTGCGGCTGAGAGGATTAGAATATGTACCTTACTTACCCAACTCAACAAGGGAAATATTTGTCGACCACTTTAATTGACAGAAGAGCTGCAAACGAAATCAGACTTTATTCCAACTTCATTTCACATCTTTTTCCTTTTTCTAGAAACTCTTTGAACATGCATGTAAGGCGTAGTTTCCGATTTAGATCTTCTCCGATGTATTGCTTTAACTTTAGGAATCGAATAGTACGTCTCATTGTAGAGCAAGAGTTAGACCGTCGGTAATGGTTACTCTGGTTTAGGGATGTGAATGAGTCTAATCAAACCTTATGTTCAAATTTGTTTGATTATTTTAACGAGTTTACAGTTGTGCTCCAGTTTGATTTATTTATTTATCAAGCCTAACTCGAGCGAATTTTTATCGAGATGAGCTTGAGTAACTTGAGTTTTGTTCCTATAAATTTCAATTCTATGCTAATCAAGTTAAGATTGAACTTGAGTCTGCAATAAGAAGAAAGAATTAAAAACAGGAGGGAAAAAAAAAAAGGTTCACTGAGTCTTCCTAATTAACGAGTTTCGCTTCAGAAAATTACTAAGAATTCAAAATTCTAGGCCTTAGAGATCCTTGCTTTCATCTGCAGGCTGTTGAAGGTTGACATCATGAATAAAGTAGTGGAGCAGCGAAAAATTCTGCCAATTGCCCTTCTAAGCAAGAATATACACACTTGACCGACCACATACCGTGTCACCCCTGGGCGAGTAGAGGCCAATCAAGAAGTCCATTGCTGCCATTTTCTTTAGAGTGGGGATACAGATCCTCTGGTAATCCACTTTTCTTCATTTCCAATCAAGAAAACAAGTGTTTGAAAATAGATTCGCTGATTGGCAAGTGGAAACACGGTATTTCTTAGACTCGGTAAACTGCAAGTAGTAAATTGAATCGAGACAACAGAAAAAAAGAAAGACTTGCAACTTCAATTTCCCTCAGTCAACTCTTTGCCAATTAATGCTTCCATAAAAAGCCCAATTCCTCGAATGTCATTCTCAACTCCCTGCTGCCTCCCAGAGTCCCACAACTAAAATTTCAAAGCCATGGAGGCACTAAGACTCTTCATACTCTTCCTTCTTCTATCATCAATAACAATTATCGTTGGAGCATTCAGGGCTGATGACATGATTGATGAAGACGAGGACTTGAGCAACTTCGATGATTTTCTAACCCCTGATTTTGGAGGATCCAAGCCTTTGATACGACTAAGTGGCCGCTCCCTTGCTCAGCAAAAACTTCCGGGAAATTATACCTGTGACGTATATCCAAGAGTTTGTCGTCTGAAGGGCAGTGCTGGACCAGATTGCTGCTACAAGAAATGTGTCAATGTGAAGACTGATAGCTTGAACTGTTTTATGTGTGGCCATAAGTGCAAATCTGGTGAAATCTGCTGCAATGGAAAATGCAGGAGCACGGTATCCGATAAGAATAATTGTGGTGGATGCAACATCAAGTGCAAACCTGGTGAAATCTGCTGCAATGGAAAATGCAGGAGCATGGTATCCGATAAGAATAATTGTGGTGGATGCAACATCAAGTGCAAACCTGGTGAAATCTGTTGCAATGGAAAATGCAAGAACACATCAAACGATAAGAATAATTGTGGTGGATGCAACATCAAGTGCAAATCTGGTGAAATCTGCTGCAATCGAAAATGCAAGAACAAGTTGAACGATACTATAAATTGTGGTGGATGCAACATCAAGTGCAAATTTGGTGAAAACTGCTGCAACGGAAAATGCAAGAATACATTGTACGATAAGAATAACTGCGGCGGATGCAACGTCAAATGCAAACCTGGTGATCGCTGTGATTATGGGTTCTGCGGTTATGCATAAAATTTTTGGTTACAAAGGCTCAATCAATACTTATACTTTTTCATTGTTTCTTCATACTGAATTTCCCTCTTTTCATTTTGATTACAATTACAAATTCTGTGAGAGCTATGTAACATATAATTACTTTTAAAAATGCTTTGTTGTTAATCACTTCTTACGTGAATTCCAGTCTGGAGGGTGAGAGTGATGTCAATCTGCGACTTGTGAAGATGGTGTTTATCAAATAAAGGCTTGGAAATAAAGCTTAAAACAAGACAGTAATATACTAATAAATTACAGTTAAAATGTGCCATGTCGCAAAGTTACAAGTCGTCCTTCTCGAAGAAACTTTGCAGAATTGCAAATTATGTCCCGACTGAAGTCCCAGGCCGGGTTGTTCTTTTTACCTCTACTGATGATCAGACCGCGGTGTCATGTGGCTTCAGTTTATACAATGTAATCCAGTAAACCACAGTAGATCCCGCATATTTCCTCTATTTAGTTAGAAAAATAAATTGTCATGATGAAATCTGCTATTTCTTTAAATTTGAGTTAGATGGGCTTTAAGTTCTAGTACCATTATACATATATATATATATATATGTGTGTGTGTGTGTGTGTGTATGAATATATGTATATGTTTATATTTATATTTATTTATTTATTGTGTCTGTTATTCTGGAATCACAAAGTTTATTTTCTTCGCATGACAGTTGTTTTAACCATTTAATTGTACCATGGTTATCGGAAGGAGATCTGAGGTTCTAGTATTACTATTGTGAGCGTAATTTAAGAATATGTTTGTAGTCATCTCCTTATATTGTTGTTGGGTACGTGTAATCTTGTTTGTTATAGTTAGACAATATGCTGGACAATAACATGTTAGTTGTAATCTTATTAGAAAAATCAGAGCAATTGGTTCCACTAATCCTACAAAGCAATAAGGCATGCAGAATTATTTTGTAATTGATAACAAAAATATGAACAACTAATAACAAATAAACTTTGACATAAAAATACAAAATCCATCATGAGTAGCATGTTTTTGACATGAATTATCGAATGCATTCTCTTTAACAAAGAAATTGAATTATATATTGTCAGCGTTAGATGAATGATAACTATGCAATATTTGAATCTAAAATTCAATATTTGCGCACGTGTCATAAATTTAACGATGATAGTGTATACAATGTCAGTGTATATATATAAGATTTACTCATTGAGTATTAGCTAAAAACGGTGATCGAAAGAATGATAATTTCGTGCCAGGTAATTGTGTTGAACAGGTTGGAAATACATGTGGGCACAAGCAAATTTTAGACTCGAAGACTAAACGGGCAACTTTCTTGTCACAATCCCATTAGTTAGTAATGCACAGGAATTTGCAGATGGACTCTGACTGAACGAACATTAAGCCTATTAAACATTGACGAGCACTGGCAACAAAGTCGTGAAAGAAAATAAATCCAACTCTTGCACTGCATGTAATTGAATATTATAGCGCAACTGGAACTGATTAAACAGTTGAAAAAAAGAAGGAAAAAAAAAAAAAAAAACCCCCCGATGAGTTGATCAAAGATGTCGGCTTCAATTCGAATGGTCACATTAATAGTAGAACATTTGGCCGCTGACTTTTGCTGCTTGCCGGCTGTAAAATGCTACAGGAATTAGAATTTGAAAAATTTGGCCATCTTGGTTTTCCTTGAAGGCAGAAAGTACATGAAACTGTCAACGCTATCAATTTCATATTCACCAACTTGATGTTGACTGTAATTAGGAGTAGGGATCAAGTTGATATAATGGAATACAACTTGATGAAATTATATATATATATAGGTACGAATATTCTTGCTGTTGGTAAAATTTAAGAATGTATTTGTCTTACTGTTCAATTTCAAGCAGCTTAAAACACAAGATTTCGATTCGATTCTAATATGGGTATTACATAGTCTTTAGCATTTGTCAGCCGTCACAGCTCAATCCAGTTTACAAGAAAACTATTTATGTTACGACTTTGAGATTCAACATGCTAGCATGTCTCAGAAGGTTTGTTAGAGGGAAAAATATATAGGCGAAGATGTGCCAAATTTTCCCAATTCTTTTTAAGATTTCAGAGATCAACTAAAGGAAATTAGGAATAAAGGGACAACTTGTGCTGTCTTGACTAGCATTTATCTATCACTTTTAACCTCACATTGGCTTTATTTATGTAGAAAGGTATTTTAGGAAGTCAATGAGTATTACTTCCCTGAGAACCTTTATAATGCAGAACTAGGGGCGGAAAAAAAAAAAAAAAAAAGGATTTGGGGGCAAGACTAGTAAAGGTGTACAAGTACATAAAAGGAAGTCTAAGTGAAAACTTTAAATGAAGGATTTCTAAAAAATCTTAATGGGGAGAGGGTAAAGTCTAATTTCTAAAAGGATATAAAAAATTTAATTTTTTTTTAAGGAGGGAAAAAAGAATTTCTAAAGTCTTGTGGGTGCCTCCTTCCCTCCACATCCACCTGTATTTTAGGAATTAAAAAGAGAGAAAAAAAAGGAGGTGATTTTCATTAAGTTCAGTAAGTAGGGGAATTATAAATAGTTGACTTTTTTTTTTTTTTTTTTTTGACGATGATAACATTTGTATAAACTAATCTAAAGAGCCTGTAAAAGGAGCTAGCATGGAGTGGAGTCTAAAGAGGCTATAAAAGAGGCTAACAAGAAGGGGAATCTAAAGAAGCTGTGTAAAATAGGATAGCAAGTAAATAGACATCTAATTAGACCAAATGCAGTTACAGCGTCTCCTTTGAATTTTTTTCAAATGAAATGGGTTCGAACCCTGCCCAATAAGGGGGCCACTTTGGCTCAGAGTTTAGTTCACTTGTTCATTCCTCTATATTTCATCGCTTTTTTTTTTGTTTTTCATTTTGTCTGCAAATTGTGTGTTGAAGAGCAAGGAGAGAAGCCAATGTCGGCTTTGCTTTGAGAAGAAACTTTTTAAAATGCTTTTATTGTTAAATTTAAGAAACTAACAAGATCATTATGAATTCTTTCTCCTTTATTATTATTTGTCATCATCATTATTATTATTATTGCGTCCAGTTTCTGATCTTAAAGTAACCAAAATAAAGGAACCAGATATTTCCATTTTTGTGCTTCGATAACTATGATATATTTCAGGGCTAGATGTTCATTTACGCGAGTATCAAAACATGAACCTAGATAATAAGTCGTGAAATGCAGTTGCAAGCTTCACATACGGTAATGAATTTTGCAGAAACAATTGAGCTCCCTTTTCCCTTTTTTTGCAGGCAAATAAGCAGAAGCAATAGAATGTGATAATATATATATATTTTTTCGAGAACGAATCTTCCATTCCACTCACTGTTTCACTTTTTATTATATTTTTATTTTTCCTTCATAAAAATCATATTATAATTCCTTTTTTCTGTCTCCATAAGATTTCAAGAAATATTAACAAGGTAATTCACGAAATTCAACAAACTAAAAAGAGCAAAATTAATTGTTTAATGAAAATTTTGTGAATTTTCTATTGTAAATTTTACTTTTCTATTATATATTATCTTTTTATACTGTTGCTTTTCCTTTTTATTCTGTTAGAGTTATTTCAATTTAAGAAAATAAAAAAGAATGAAAATATAGTGTTTATGCACAAAAAATGATAATATAATAAAAAATGAAATAAAGAGCGGAATAGGAAATTGGACAAAAAAAATCTGTTATTGCATTTTTTGCATGATTTAAAATAAAGTTTTAAGGCAACGAGTCAAATGTGGGTCTGCTCTGCTCCGTAGGGTCAAATTAGGAACTTGAAATGTTAGTACTGTATAATTGTATATGATAGTCAAATCACAGACGCCAAGAACACTTTAAGTGCAAGTGTAACGAATTCCAAAATCAAAGTTCAGAAATCCAAGCACGATTCTGGTCTCATCCTGGGCTGCTTTCTAAACCTATTAAACGTTTCCTGCGGTGTTTATTGTCAAAATAACTCATCTTCCAAAATATATATCCAAAGTAATCTAATTTTAAATTTTATTACGTTTATGATCCTTTTTTTGTCACTTAAGCTACATATGTGCTAGGATGGAGATAGAGGCATATTTCATTTCTCTTTCCCAAATAATGTCTTCTCCAATTTTTTTTCTAAACCTTCCTGCATTTTTTTGTTTAATTATTTTTCCTTTGTCAAACGTAATCCTAAGAAGCCAATATTTATATTAACAACACCTAAAAAATATGCTTTTCAAATCGATAATCTCAAGGCAAATAAAAATTATTCTCTTGTCTTTTTAAGATGTAGGAAGGATAATATAAACAAATATGATCACCTTGAAGTTTTTGTAATTGCTTACAATTTTTATTGAAATTTTTGATGCAATTTTTGTATTTTAAAAATTTATTTTTTGAAAAAATATATGCAGTAGGTTTGATTCATTTTAAGAAATTTAGAAACCAATAATAGCAAGGTCAATAATGGCAGAATTTATTTTAAATAATTATAAGGAAATTATAAAAGTTATGCAATCTTCTTGTGCCTCTATAATAAAAAAAATTTAAATTTTTAGTTCATTTTGGAAACTATAAATTAGATTAGAACTTTCCTTTCTTATTATCCTGCATGGCAATTAGGTTAACTAGGTGGCAACAATAACATCGTTATGGGAATAAATTTTGAAAGTAAATCACATTGGGAATATTTTTTAGGAAGAGTGTTATTTTGGCAAAAAACTCGTTTCCTGCGAGCCCTCTGGTTCGAGTGGTTTCTAAATATAAGCAGCTAACATCCATTGACCCGCAAAATCCACATCTGACTTTTAACAACTCCAGATTTATCTGCCCAAACTTTGAACACTGTGGCTAAGATTAGGATAGCATTTGACGACTAACTCAGTACTCAAGGTTCTTGGTAAATAAATTAGGACTTAAAAAAGTTGATCAAGTCTTAACTGTCCGTGACAATTTAGCTTCATGATGTTGCCTACCAGAACTTTAGTTTGTTTTATATTGAAGGTAAGGATATCTTTTTACGAAGTTAGAGTACCTTTTTCCAAAAACAATTCTAATTTAGTGATACTTTTCTAATTTAAAATATATATGCACGATCAATGAGGCACTATTATTCCTTCTTTTTTTTTTTTTTGGGAAAAAAACGCCAACGAGGCCACTCCTTTTATTTATTATGCTGAAAAAGAGATCCCAAG